TATCTCAATTTATACTTCTAATATATTTAAGAATAGAATAAATGAAATTTTCTAATAAAGGAACTTAATAAAATTCTAAATTTTCGTGCTTGAAACCATACTAAGGTCACTAAAGTCCTGAACCGGTCAAATAAGTCATGTACTGAGTATCAAAATCATGAACAAATCTCATAAAAAAAGGTAGTTTGTTTAAACCCAAAACTATCATTTAATATACTAAACTAGTCATAAACGGGGTACTAGAAGGGTGAACCGGCCACTAGGAGGTTGAAACAATCATTATGTCACTGAATTGACTGTAAATTAATCTCTACTACGTTGAATTGTTCCTAAACCAGCTTGAAAAATATTGAACTGGCCTTAATTTTCATTGAACCGGCTGTATACTCACCGAACTGGTCTAGTTTATGCACAAACCGGCCTAAAATCCCTTGAACCAGAGCTAAAATAATTCTATTTTCCCTAAGTCATCCTTAAATCGGTTGGTTCAAATATTAACCTAAGTTACTGTGCTTTGAAACGGAAGTGAACCAGTCATCTTTCCGTTGAACCGACTGGTTTTTCTATTCATTCCTTTATTTATTCATTTTATTTTATTTTATATTTATTTCTTTAATTATGACCCAGATCCAGTATCTGATTTTTGCCTCACCCAAATGTTAATCTAGCCTAATCAAAATAGAAACCCAAGCCCATTTTCCCAGATCAACCTAACTAGCATGCCCTAGTTTAATTTAGGCTTGGCCCAAAACAAGGCCCAACCCTCAGCATCAGACTTAGACCTTCATGGGTCAATTCGTCTTAACTCGATTGAACCCTCGATTTAGTAGAATTGCATACCTGGCTCTCTTGGTGGAAATTGATTACTAATTTACATAAAACTTGGAAAGATGACAACTGGAATGATCATTTCTCCTTATTGCGATGTTGATATGTCAAATTAAATCGATCAATTAGGAATAATCTTTGGATTTTTACTCTATTGGTTGTGATGAACAAGAGAGGGAAATTTCTCAAGATTTTAGAGGAATTTGTAGAAATTGATTTGGTGTTTTGATCCCTTCTTCACTGTTGCACATATATGTTTGAAGATTACGAGTAAAATTTACTTAATTCGTTCAAATTTGGATATACATGGCCATGGGATTCGGATGGGTACAAAATTTAAAAATTTCTAATTATTTCAATTTAGTCCCCTAGCTTCTAATTTTGTGCGATTTAATCCCTCATTCTTTGCTTTTGTTCGATTTAGTCCCCAAACTCTTGATCTTGTTCAATTCAATCCTTGCCCCTTTTTTTAAAAAAAATTCTAACAATACCTCAAAATTTTGGGGTATTATATAAGTACTAGCATTGCTGTATTTTGTATTTGAGAATGGCATATTTTGTAAATATGTTTATTCGTATTTTAGAGTTGGTTCCATTTATATTTTAGATAAAACCCTTTTGTATATGTTTCAGTTTGAATATTTATATTAGTTTCATGTGAAATTATATCTAGTGTGTTTGTCTGTTTAGTTCGAGACTTATTAGGGTTAATGACTTATCTTTAGTATCAGTCATATGCTTAGTTTTAAGTTGTAACAATTTTTTTAAATTTTATTTATTTTTTTGATATTTTATCTCATACTTGTTTGTAACTGTGAAACTATATAATTTCTACACCACATTGGTAATGATAAAACACAATGGAAGACAACAAACTACATGTACTACTAATATGATAAAAAAAAAAAAAAATGAATTGGTGATGTTAAAACAAGAACACAGAACACATGCCACCACTGTAGTCACGCACATTTTCTCTTATTCCCCTAACCGAAGTTCTAATAGAAAGAAAACAACACCGTTTGCTTTAAGAAAATGAAGATAAAAAAGACAGAACAAAGTAAAGCTATCACAAAAGTAAAAGGACGTCGTTCCATTAACAAAAATAGGTGAACAAAGGACGCACCATAACTGTAGTCAAGTGGATGCTCTCTTGTAAAATATCTTACTAATTAATTAAAATAGTTAGAGAACATGTCAAGATAATTTAAGCATACGTATGATTTTATATTTTCAGGAGATAAATCACAATCAAACTAACTTGATTTATATTTTAAATTGCAGCGTAATGACATTTACAACTAAAATGTTCAATTTCATATTTGTAACCTCATACCTATCTTTCTCTCACCTAGTTAAGAACTCAGCATCCTATTCCTCAAATTCTTCTGATTTTCAATAATCGTGACACTTGTTTACCAAGGCAGGTGAGCAATTACGTTAAGACAATCCCGGCCCCACGTATCATCATCTTATCAGTTTTACATATTTGTCATACATTTTGTGATTATTATTCTTGACATTATTGTTTGATCAATCATTGTATAAAAAGACAAGTTAATTAAGAACCAAAATATACAAAATTCTTATAGATGTCGAAAATACACAACTTACCTTTGCCATAATTAAGCTCATGTAAGAAAACAACAATTTATATTTTATCTTAAATTTTGTTGTTATTAAAATATTTTAAAATTTTATTAAAATTGTTAACAACTCATTTATAATAAAAAAATTAATTATATCAAATATGTATTTTTATCATATTATCATATTTATATTTTTAATAAATTTGAATTATTACATTTACCAAAAAAAAAAAAATTGAATTATTACTCAAATTGTAACACGTTTATGCCCTGACAGGAGCGGGCTTACCTTCTCACCCTTCCCGGACTGGCAGTGGCGCGCTGTACCCCAGTACGGAATGCGCGGAAATGGGAGGATAATAATATCATTATTTATCATTAGAGCGTCGATTTTTTTTTTTTTCTTCCAGTTCCATGATCTTCCAGAGCCCACTTGTGCGCAATACATGTGGCATGTGCTGTTGTACCCTTGACATTTGACATATATATACACGTACCCCATTCATTGTCCATAAATTTGATAATACGCGCAGACTTTCCGGTTGCCCGTTCCCTTCGGGAGAACCTCACATCAGCTGGAAATCGCTGGGCTGAATTTGTGCAAGAACTCCGGCGAGTTAGGGCTCGAAGGGGGTTGGAGGATGTGGTACGTAAGGCAAACGAGACGGCGGTGTCGCCCTTCGTCAATTTGGCTGGGTAGGCAGATTAGCTGCCGAAGGCGTCAAGCCTACGCGCCATGCTTTTCTCAGCATATGTAAGTATCTTGTCGCCAGCGGAATAGCCGGAGGAGTACAGTTTCTACTGTCTCTCCGATTCTCAAATTTCGTTTTCAATTTTTCGTAATGCTCTGTTCTGCGTATTTAGTTTATACTTGTTCTGTTTTTAGGATCATTCGCTTATGTTGATATGATACTTCTACCGGCCTTATGATATGTTTTTGTTGTCTTTTATCTGTTGTTAATTGGAGATCCAATCAAATGGCGGATCACATTGTTGCTGCTCTGTGTAATTGCAGAGGCGGCTCGGATTTCGCCAACATGCTTGCGTTTTATGGACATTAATCTGCCGTAAATATTGGAAATTACTCCACTGCCCTTATCCGTCAGACATTTATTTAGTCTGAGGAATCCTTTAACTGAAATCGCGTTATTGCTGCTTGCATAATCAATCGTCGATTTTGATTTATCTTGATCGTTCCAAGCACTTACTGCTGAACATACTGGAGGTGCTAGCTGCATTGGCTAAACTTAAGTGTGGCATAAATTGGTAGTTCAGACACTTCCTGGATACTTCTTGGGTGCTCAAGGACGTCTATTAGCGTCGCTGGCGTGATGTCTCTATACTAATGAATTATGTATGATATTATTCGAAATGTGAATTGTACCTCGGATTTATATATTTCCAAAAGTATGGCATAAGTTAACGTACATTATAAACCACATTAACAAAACTGGTCCTAACTGATCTTCTCTAGCCTCTCGAAAATCATCAGAAGCTATTTATTGTAGTTTTTTTTGTTTTTTTGGCTTAGCATGCTTGAACTTGACTGCAGAATGATAACACAAATCATTGTCAAGTGTGAGGATATGGTTACAAAGAACTACTTCTGTAGTCCATACCTTTATCAAGCTTTAGCGATCACTAGAGTCTACATGGTGGAAAACAATATTGCTAAATATTTTTTTCTTCTTTGACATTAATTCTCCCCTGTTTGTTTCAGGTTGCAGATGCATACTGCTGTTGCTCCATTGAAGCAGTTGAAGATTTTGCTCCAGGTAAAATTATTGTATGCATTTGGTTTCTTTTAGCATGCATAGAATTGGTTTAGACCATTGTACTCATCATGCTTATACAGCTAAGCAATTGTGACTTAAGCAAGGTTCTGTTAAATATTTGCTGGAATGGTTTTCTCCTAATGGAGTTTGTTGTTGCATGCCTTGTTGTTTGTGGTATATATCTATGGAATCATGTGTAAGTTTCCTTTAGCAGACATTCTCTCATTGTTATCTCTCAAATTTAGAAGAATGAAATATTTTCTCTACCTCAATACTGATGTGGTTAGTAGAAGCTGTGGGAAACTAAAGGAGTTTTTTCAAATTTTCAGCAGCCTCTCAAATGCTGAATTACTAATTTTTGGTTACATTCCTATTTTACTTAATGAGATGAACCTTTAGCTAGTCTTGGGAAAATGCTACTTGAAAGATATTTCAAAGATGTCTGCATAAAGGCGAAGTAATTCTTGGTCAAACTCATCCCAGGACAAAATTAAAAACTAAAACAAGAAATATGTTCTAAAACTAATCTCTACATGTTATCTGCATCTATATTGACTACAATGGGATCATTTTGGTAATTCTAAGGAATTGCTTATTTTATTTTATTTTATTTGTGCATGTCTCAATAGAATTAATTTTTTCAAAAAATGATTTAGTCTAACAGAAAAGTTGATATGGTGGATCAAAAATCTCATATCTAAATTTCAAAGTGCAACTTGCTTAGGATTGAGCTTATAGAATGTTAAACATCACTAAACATGTTCATTGTTGAATATTTGCTTTGAATTTAAACGAGGTCAGCAACTTCATGAGGATCATTAATTTGCCATTTCTACCTCTTGCAGAGTATGCTGAACTGACTCCTCTTTTATGCCTTGGAGTTGGATCATGTGCCGGCATCATTGACACTTCAGCAACTTATCCCAAGGACATGGTGTGTGGCAGGCTCACTGTGCAGGTACTTTGTATATCCAACTATGCATGCTCCCCATACCGAGATCAGGTTCTCCTTGCAATGAATTAAATTCACTGTTTACCTTGTAGTCAAATTTTGCAGATGGAAGCATCTCCTGGGAACAGGGGAATCATCCATGCTCTTTCAACTGTTTTTGGTGAAGAAGGTTCTCATGCTTTGCACAAAGGATGGCTTCCATCTGTAATAGTGGTAAGTAGCACTAAATTTGTGAGTTCACCTTTGATTGATTGCTTGTTTCAAAGTCTACAAGCTGACATATGTAGACTTCTCATTTGAGAAATCTCTGATGGGGGGGGAGATAGAGATGCCAGTTTCTTTCTGCTCTTGCAGTGTTTGATAAAATAATGGGTGGGCACCTCTGTTTATTTGTCCTTGATAACTTGACTTGGAAGATAGAATTAGTGGATTAAATATAATGGACGTTTTGGGAGAACAAAGTTGCAATGCATAAAATACTCAAGGGATTTGAATTCACATGCAAATGGTAATTGATGACATTTTCTTTTTCCTTCAGATTTAAGAAAACTTTGCCTTCAAATCACCAAACTTTTTTGGCTGACATTATATTCATGTGATTTCATTTAAGTTCTTGTTAATGTGGATAAGGAGCTCTAGAAGATTCTGAAAATTATAAGCATTAAGAAAGTGAAACATATGAATTATTATATTTCAGATACTTGAATGTCTCTTTCTTGGGATTGTGGAAGTACTGACCATCAATCAAGTGTGAAAAGTAAAATATTATTACAAAGGACAATAGAAACTGCCTACTACTGTTTGAATCAGTTTCACAGTCAATCCTTCCCCTTTCCAGCAATTTAGTTGGAATTATTCTCCAGATTCATGCCATTAATTACACTCATGTTCTATAACTTGAGATGGGCTTTAATTGTTCTTTAAGATCAAGTATCATTATTAGACCACTTATAAATTAAGCCATAACGCTCCTTGCCTTCCTGTTTGTTCTGTACTTTCGGAAGAGTCCATTTCTCATTCATATGTTATGAGGACCTAAAATGTACAGGATGGTGTCTGCAGATACCATATGCAAGTCTGAACTTTACTGTACATGACTTTGAAAGACTGGTTGATCAAATCCAGACCATATGGACTTGTTGAAGATTCTGAGCTGTGTTACAAGCAAGAACTTGGGCGTGGGGATGCTGCTGGAACTGTTGGCCAGACGGTTGCTTATCTTCTTGATGTTATTCATCAAAGTATGCAGGTGGTGGACTGGAAAGATGTTGCTTCAGTAGGCGCCATTTGAGTATTCTGGTATGGTTGATGCATATAGGACAACAGCTAGGCATGAAGATTTCAAAGCTTTGTACAAAGGTATGATCTCCAATTCAGTTAAGGTAAGTGGTATATTTGTACTCGTCATCTTTCTTGACATTCTCTGTCCCACTTTTTATTCGATCCAATAAATGTTACATTCTTCAGTTCTTCGGACATTCTTTAATTGCCAGATGGGTGGATATCCATCTGCTTTCTAGCTGCTTCATTTTCATTTTTCTTCATATTCTAGTTTCTTTTTCATTTATAACAGATATTATGAGATTAACCACCAAATTTATTGGGTGGTCACTTCCACGGCAATTGCATTTGTGACGTACAAGGTGGTAAAGGACATTCTTGAGGTTAAGGATATCTGACTGAAACTGGAAGGATTTCCCCGTACTTGATGGACTTTCCCGCTAATTTTGGTGAGCAAATAGAGGGATTAAATTATTAGGACATTTTTCGTTTGTCAAATCATTTCCAGAGTCCAGGAAGTTATAGAAACCATTTTCTAGCCTAGGTTAACCCCTGTTAATATTGCCAATCCTTTTCCTTCTCATTTAGACTTTTTACATTTTAATTATATGATATGCACTGCCAGTAAGTTGTCAATAAGGAATGTCTTAGAGATCAATTATTTGTGAAACCAGTTATTAAATAGAATTAAGTAATTTGTGCTATATCTTCCTTTTGCAGTTTAAATTATTCTTCTTGCTTTGTGTCAATTTATTAATCAACTATTGCAGCATGCATGGGTATTTGGATAACCTTATCCGCAGCACTTCTATCTTGGTATTGTCAACAACGTCTTTAAAAATTATCTATATCTTTTTAAGATATGAAGTCTTTATTGATCAATTAGTTGTTTAATTAAGTCATCTAAAATCTGGTGAAAACCTTCATTAATTAATGTATGTTAGCCCCCCATTTACTGATATGGACAATCAATCATCCAAAGCTAACAAATGGAGTTAATAATGTGAGCAAGTCCTGAATTTTCCCTTATTAAGCACACAAATGACCTGCAGCTTTTTGGAGATCGTGCATCTTCGATTAGTCTCTTTGAAGTTGTACAAACTACGTGTTTCATATTTCTCCTTGTTAATATTTGGCTTCACTTTTAGGGAGTGTTATTTGCTAAATGTTTAAACCATGTCATTCACAATCACTGACTGTTTAGGAGAGTTTAATACCCATCCTTGCTTGCAGTTATTAGTGCTGTACAGATCTCGAATGGATATTTCACAAGGTGGAGACGGAGTTTTGTCTAATCATAGACTTGACTGAATGCAAACTAAAATGAATAGAAGAAATTTCCTATACAATAAACTGATCATTCCATAGGACCCCTAGCAAATCTTGTCCACCACCTAAACAAATGTTCCATCAACAATCACCTACATTATTGGAGAATAAACCAAAAAATATGATTTCAAAATGCAAAAACCCTGAAAGGAAAAAAAAAAGAAGAAAAATAATAGCAGCAGGAAACCTTCATGTAGCAATAGGCCTTCTACCAGCCTTCTTTAACAGCATTTCCTTGAGATAATTGCATTGACTGCGGTGATAATCGATCCATATACAAAGCTGTCTAATGGCCTCCCTCTTCTCTTCTCCTAGTCCCAAAATCCCCTCATCCTTCTCATTCATTGTCTTCTGTAAGTCTCCCATCTTCTCTTGAAGCTGTTTGAGAGCTTTTCTTAGACTCAGATTCTCGTCTTCAACCTTCTGCAGTTTCATCCCCAATTCTTTTACTTTCACCTTCAATAATGATTCTTGCTCTTTCCTGTCTTGCAGTTGCTCAACTAGGTTATTGACCTCCTTTCTCAGGCTTTCTTTTTCATCATTTGTCCCCTTGACCCAGTTCTTCGAGACTTGAAGCTCACTAATGATTTCATAAACACGGGTCTCAAGGTGTCCATAGTCTTCTTCAAGCTTAAGGGTAAGAGCATCAAATCCTGTCATGGTGTTCTTCACTTTCTCTGAGATGTCTGCAACTATCTTAACTTGCACTTCCTTGTAGATAGCAATTGCTTGAGACAAGTTAGCAACCCTTTCTTCAAGCAATGTTTGCTCATGCTGGAGCTTTTCTTCTTTCACCCTGTGGCTTTCTTCCTTCTCTGTCAATAACTGTTCAGTTACTCGAAGTTTCTGGTTTGATAGGCGGAGCTTAACTTCAATCGTGCGACGTTCTCTGTTAGTGTGCTTATTTCATCTCCTTTCATCTCCAGATCTCTTTTTAAGTCTTCAATGATTTCTTCTAATTCTTCAACTTTCCTATCTTTAGATTCAACACTGTTCTGCAAATCTCCTGTCATTTCTTCAATCTTCCTTTCAGCAACCTCTGCTTTTGCCTTGCACTGTTCAAACAAAACTTCAAGTTGCTTGTACTCTTCACTCAATTTGCTGAAAGCCTCCTCCTGTTCTTTTAGCTTTCTTTGCTGATTTGTTACCTCAGTTGCTAACTCAGCATTCTGATTCTCCATCTGAGACAGATTTTCTGAAAATTCTTGCCTGCCTCTCTCAATCTGCAAATCCAACTGCCTTTCTCAGACATAAGGAGGTCCAACTCCATTTGAAGATCGTTGACCTGCTTATTCAACGCCATAATTTGAGTGGAAGCTTCACTCTCTGCATCTTCATGTTTCTTTCTGAGAGTAAGTAACTCCTCCCCTCTCTCCATTAAAGCCCTCTCTAGTTCAGAAAACCTATCCAGCAGACCCTTCCTTTCTTCTGTCAAGGAATTATTATCTTGGCTTTTAGTTTTTGTCTCCTCTTCTAGGTTATTTTTGTGGTCACGTAGAGAGTAAACTTCAGTTTCTAGATCCTTCACTTGGGCCATGAGATTTTCTCTCTCTTCCAGCAGTCTCTGTTCATCCAAAGTCTTGCTTGCTAACAACTCATTCAGGTTTTCTATCTCGAGAAGGAACTGTGAAATTTCTTGACCCTTTTTCACAAGGTGAGACTCTGATTCAGCTTTCTGAGCATGCAAAGAATCCACTGCCATCTGCAGATTGCTAACTTGTTCCATTAAAGTTGTAATTTGCACAGATGCTTCATTTTCTCCTTCTGTGGATTTCCTTTGTAGATCAGACAGTTCATTCCCTTGTTCGGTTAATGATTTTTCCAGTTCCAAAATTCTATCTTGCAGCTTCTCCTTTTCTGATACCACCTGACTAATTTCATGGTTTTTACCCCTCAGTTGCTCTTCTAGTTCACTTTTCTGGCTACGCAGAGAGTGCAACTCCTCTTCCAAGTCCTTTGCCTGTAACAAAAAACTGTCCCTCTCCTCAGTCACCTTCTGTGATCTAGAGACTTGTTTGCTAACTCCTCTTTCAAGGTTTCCATCTGACCAAGGTGCTCTGAAATCACTTGACTGCTTTTCTCCAACTGAGTCTCAAACTCAAATTTCTGGCTGATTAGGACCTCCAGCTCCTGTTGCTTTTCATTGAAACTTGTCAGTTAGGTCTTTTACCCTAGCAGAAGCTTCATTACTTTCTTGTGCAATTTGTTCTTCCAATTTGCTCCTGTGAGTCTTTAAAGATTCCACCTCCAGTTGCAAGGTTTTGATCTGTGTAGTCAGCTCCTCAATTTGAGACAATGAATCTTTCTCCTTATCCTCGAGCTTCTTCAACAGGGTGGACAGTTCCTCATCTTTCTGCCTTTCAATTTCTTGTCTCTTGGCGTGCAGGTATCCAGTTCAAGTTCCAAGCCCCTCATATGAGTTGACGTCTCACTCTTGTGGGCCTTATGCATCTCCATGTGAGTTGCAAGTTCATTTTCCTTCACACTCAGTTCCTCCCTCAACTTGCTAGATTCAATCACCAGCTCTTCTATTTTCTCCTGTGCCTTGGCAATCTCATTTGAGAGAGATAAAATTTGAGTTGATGTCTCACTCTTGTGGGCCTCATGCATCTCCATGTTAGTTGCTAGTTCATTTTCCTTCATACTCAGTTCCTCCCTCAACTTGCTAGATTGAATCACCAGGTCTTCTATTTGCTCCTGTGCCTTGGCAATCTCATTTGAGAGAGATAAAATTTGAGTCGATGTCTCACTCTTGTGGGCTTCATGCATCTCTACCTGAGTTGCAAGTTCACTTTCTTTCACACTCAATTCCTCCCTCAACCGGCTAGATTCAGTCGCCAGTTCTTCCATTTTCTCCTGTGCCTTGGTAATCTCATTTAAGAGCTCTGAAATTTGAGTTGATGTCTCACTCTTGTGGGCCTCGTGCATTTCCGTGTGAGTTGCAAGTTCATTTTCCTTCACACTCAGTTCCTCCCTCAACTTGCTAGATTCAATCACCAGCTCTTCTATTTCTCCTGTGCCTTGGCAATCTCATTTGAGAGAGATAAAATTTGAGTTGATGTCTCACTCTTGTGGGCCTCATGCATCTCCCTGTGAGTTGCAAGTTCATTTTCCTTCATACTCAGTTCCTCCCTCAACTTGCTAGATTGAATCACCAGCTCTTCTATTTCTCCTGTGCCTTGGCAATCTCATTTGAGAAAGAGAAAATTTGAGTCGATGTCTCACTCTTGTGGGCTTCATGCATCTCTACCTGAGTTGCAAGTTCACTTTCTTTCACACTCAGTTCCTCCCTCAACCGGCTAGATTCAGTTGCCAGTTCTTCCATTTTCTCCTCGCCTTGGTAATCTCATTTAAGAGCTCTGAAATTTGAGTTGATGTCTCACTCTTGTGGGCCTCATGCATTTCCATGTGAGTTGCAAGTTCATTTTCCTTCACACTCAGTTCCTCTCTCAACTTGCTCGATTCAATCACCAGCTCTTCTATTTTCTCCTGTGCCTTGGCAATCTCATTTGAGAGAGAGAAAATTTGATTGATGTCTCACTCTTGTGAGCTTCATGCATCTCTACCTGAGTTGCAAATTCACTTTCTTTCACACTCAGTTCCTCCCTCAACCTGCTAGATTCAGTCGCCAGTTCTTCCATTTTCTCCTGTGCTTTGGCAATCTCATTTAAGAGCTCTGAAATTTGAGTTGATGTCTCACTCTTGTAGGCCTCATGCATATCCACGTGAGTTGCAAGTTCATTTTCTTTCACACTCAGTTCCTCCCTCAACCTGCTAGTTTCAGTCAACAGTTCTTCCATTTTCTCCTGTGCCTTGGCAATCTCATTTAAGAGCTCTGATATTTGAGTTGATGTCTCACTCTTGTAGCCCCATGCATCTCCACGTGAGTTGCAACTTCATTTTCTTTCAC